TTGGTGCATAGATTCTTGATGGGCACCGTAAAATGACTTCAGTTTAAAGTTGTACTTTTTGTTGGTCATTTTAATCCCAGGGTCAGACAGCTGCAAGGCCTAACAAGGACTTATTTCATTTTAATTTGTATTTGGTGCCATCTTGTAATGAAGCATTGCCATAAAAAGAGTGTGGCACATGAATTTGCTTTCTGTTTTGGTCACAATAAAGCCTGTTATTATTGTCCCAGCCACTCTGGTACAGCTCTCTGCAGTTATCTGTGTCTGGAGCACTTAGCCCAAATTAGAGCAACTCTTCTGTTGGTGCAAGAAGATATAAAAGGAAGCAGGTCTTGGCTAGGTGATGAAGTGAGTCTCCTCTGCAGAGATCCTGTGCTTTGATGAGAGAAACTCCAACTCATCAGTGCCTGACTAATGTCAAACACAGAAGAGTTTGACCCCTGAGTCCTGGGAGAGCTGTTAAAATTAAAGTTAGCTTCTGTGGATGTGCGTGTGAATATGTGTGTGTGTGTGTGTCCTTTATGTTTTTTGATTAACCTGGATTGTGAGCCGTCTTTCCCTCGGTAGCTCATTGCCCACGGGCTACGGCATTGATCTGGTGGCGGTTGTAATGGTTCATCTCGTGTGTATGTCCTTTGGCGTGCTTCTGCAGTTCCAGTAAAGCATATGCACCATCATATATTCCTACCAACCTGCATTTTTGGTAGAAGATAGAAGTTGATGTGTGTGCATACATGGGAATGAGACTGTGGTTTTGAGTATTTGATGGCTGCAATTGCTTTGATAATATTATATTCTGTTTCAGTGATCTCTAAATGCTGTCCTTTTCCTGTATAATAATCCCACCGCTTCTGCTTAACCGTTACAAATTCGCCTCTGAGTAGCTCCCCTCCCATTTCTTCATGAACACACTTGTATATTCTCAAGTTAACACCTTTCCTGCCCTTCTTACCTCTTCTCAGGTGATATCCATGGGCAGTACACAGATCTTCTGAGGCTGTTTGAGTATGGTGGCTTCCCTCCAGAGGCAAACTACCTTTTCCTGGGTGATTACGTGGACAGAGGGAAGCAGTCCCTGGAAACCATCTGCCTTTTGCTGGCCTACAAGATCAAATACCCAGAGAACTTTTTCCTGCTCAGGGGCAACCATGAGTGTGCTTCCATCAACCGCATCTACGGGTTCTACGATGAGTGTAAGCAGAGATAAACTCACGCTGCGCACATATACACACAAACTGCCCACAGCACAAACACAATTTGTTGCTGAAAATGTGTGTTTATGTGTTTCACCAGGCAAGCGCAGGTTCAACATTAAGTTATGGAAGACCTTCACTGACTGCTTTAACTGCCTCCCCATCGCTGCTATTATTGATGAGAAGATCTTCTGCTGCCATGGAGGTAAGAGAGCTACTTATGTCCAGAATCTAAACTGTAGCTTTTTGATACTGTTGTGCATGTGGAGTGTCTCCTACTAAAAATAACCGCTTCATTTTCAATTTCAGGGCTATCACCTGATTTACAGTCGATGGAGCAGATTCGCAGGATCATGAGGCCAACAGATGTGCCCGATACAGGTACTGGATGTGTCCTCACGTACTTGATGCTGAACACGTTCACTTCCTCTGGAATTTCAGTGTATATTTAAATGAAAAAAAAGGCTTCTGTCTCCCTGAGTGAATGACTGTTACACCCGTAGATCTTCTGCGTTACATCCGAAAAGTCCGTTGGGTTTTTTTAGCACTTTGTTCCACTCGATGTCTGTTTATGCTCTCCTTTCAACTCTTTCCTGTTTTCTGTGCTTCCCATCTCCATCTGTATTCTGTCTTTGTGTCTCCCAGGCCTGCTGTGTGACCTGTTGTGGTCAGATCCAGATAAGGATGTACAAGGTTGGGGAGAGAACGACCGCGGTGTCTCCTTCACCTTTGGGGCAGATGTGGTCAGCAAGTTTCTAAACCGCCATGACCTGGACCTCATCTGCAGAGCCCACCAGGTAATTGGGAGTGGAATTAAGTTTGAGTCTGGGTATGCAGTTAAAAACAACATGCAAGCACACAGTTAAAATGTATCTGGTGTTTTTTATTTGTTTCTTTTTAGAGACTTAAAATTGCTCATCCATTCACTTTAATGATCGCTGACCTTCATTTTATTTACAGTTGCTGATGAGAAGACGCCACAACTAAGCAAAACAATAGCAACCGTGTAGCCCCTAATTTCCTGCTTCCATTTTATATCTTCTTATCCTATTCATCATATACAAAAGCACTCAGGCTTTTGTAGTGAAGATAATTTAAAGCAAATAATTGGCAAGGCACTTTTTACATTTGTGACACTGACATCAGGTATATTTGCCCGATTAATGACTAAAAACTGGTTTTCAAAAATAGAATGTATAACTTTTATCTTAATTGATTCAGTGACTGAACAACAAGCTCAGGAGCTGTTATTGTTAAATTAGCCGCAGCTATTTCAGCTCTGCGTTGGGCGTTTCATATTGATTCAGATGTAGGTGGTTTTGTACACTCAAACCTTGATAGCAAAGTTGGATCCTGAAACTAGCCGAAGATGTGTTTCTTGGTATCGATCGATGTAGGCGTTGGAATAATGTCGTGTGTCTTCTATCTAACAGGTTGTGGAGGATGGATATGAGTTCTTTGCCAAACGCCAACTGGTCACACTTTTCTCTGCTCCAAACTACTGCGGGGAGTTTGACAATGCAGGCGGCATGATGAGTGTTGATGAATCCCTCATGTGCTCCTTCCAGGTAGTGTAGAAACTGTAGGAACACTTTTACATTCATTAGAGTTGCCTTTTGACATTGATATCTGTGTGACCCATCTCAGAAGCATGCATCTTCTCTCTCACACTTCTCTTTGCTTGTGTCTTAAAGATCCTAAAGCCCTCAGAGAAGAAGGCTAAGTACCAGTATGGTGGCGTAAATTCTGGTCGGCCCGTCACCCCACCCCGTACCACCCAAGCCCCCAAGAAGAGGTGAACGTACAGCCGTGACTCCCCCTCTCCCTCTCACCTTGTCCGGCCCCAGTCTGCCATCGCAGCAACCCCTGTAACTCCCCTGTATAGCGAAGATACAGGGCTTATCTAATTGCCCAAATCTTTCTCCTCATTCTCCTCCACTCACCCCAACCCTCCCTCAACTCCACTGACAGCTCTTTTCTTAATGTGTATGTGTACATAAATTTGCTGTGACCAATCTGTTTTATTTTTTTGCCTGTTTGTTGGTATTTTTGATATTATTAACAAATAATCTTTTTGGTGGTTTTACTTCCAATGCTATTTGAGGTTTTCTGAGGTTCTGTGTTGTTGTGAGGAAACACCTTCTGTCCGTAGAGGGCCTATTGTGACCAAGTTACCGAAAATATTTCTCAGTTCTTCAAAAAACCAAAATGGAGATTGAACATTATTTTGCCTTGACCTCTCAACAAAAGCAGAGAGAATCCTTCCCGTGTAGTTGACTTGGGACTGCGGTTTCTGTGCAATGCTAAATCCCTCGACACAAATAACATTTCTTATATTGCAGTTTAACATTTTAAACTCATTACGGCATGTGCAGTGCACTTTGCGGTTGTTGTGCACACGCACATTTTATATATTTAACCATTGACAAAGTGCACCTCCCCATAAGTAGCAAAGAATGTGAACAGACCGGCTTGAATGAAATATAGAGGCTAAATCAGATGCTGCTGGCAGTGGACACGCTCTACCCGAACACAACGCCCTCTGGGCATCGATTTCTCCACTCTGTTATGCCTCCCTGTGCCTCGACTCCACTCCCACACAAAAACATGCTGCTTTTCACACAGAGCTGGTATTGACATTTTCCTTGGTGTATTTATTATTTGTTCTCATCAAAATAATTTCCCCCATACAAATCCTCTTGATTTATAGTGAAGGATGCGGGGAAAAGTTTTGTATTTCGTGTCTGTGGGAAGTTAAATGTATGCAGCTCACTGATTTGAATAAGACAGCTATGGACTTTAAATGCGGACAGTGAATACAAGGTCTGCATGTTTATAGAACTGTGCTTTGCAAATATGGATCTTTGTATGGAGAGGATAAGAAATGCCAAAACACTGGTTGTATTTTTGCAAATCCATCAAATTAAGCCCATACAGTGTTAAGAAAAAAGACGGATTAGCAAAAATTTGATGCAGTAGCTTCAGAAATAGCTCCACAATATTTGTCTTGTTGAGTGCAGTGTGCATATACCGAACTGGAAACAAACACAATAAAGAAAGGTTGCTTTTGGAAGCTTTGTAGCAAAATGACAGCTGTCCTTCTTTCAGATCACCCAATCTGTTGAGGTACAGGGTATGAAAACGGGAGTGGGCGGCAAGGCCAGCAAGTGTTTGCATTGTTGTGTGATTGTGTCGCCACCTGGTGTATAAATACAGTACTACAGTGCAGAGTAGTGCATTTCCAATGTTGTAAATTTCAAAATGGACAGCTCGGGTTGGGCTTTTCATCACATTGCCGGTCCAGAATGTGTTGTCATTTACTGCTAGGAGGTACTACAGTTACACTGACCAGCAGTAAGCCTGGTTAGCGGTTCAGCTTCAGTCCACTGCACATGAGATGCAGTTGGAATTTTTGTGGAAAACAGTTGCCTCTTTTTCTTTCATTCTTTCTTTTTTTTCTTGTTTTGCTCTTTGTTGTATTATTCTTTCTGTTGTAAATTTATGTTCTCTATTCATAATGTTTACTTTTAATTCACTTAATTTATTTCCTAATAATGATAATAAGAGAACAATGACATGTTACCAAAAGCTGTTTTGCAATTTGTACAAGTTTGTTTGAAAGTCTATAAATTCAATAAAATGGATGGAACCTAAAGCGGTTGTTGCTGTCGTGTCTTCATCTCAACACACAGTTCATATGTTTGCATGCTTCTGTTGGCCTGAGGCAGGAAATGCCCACAAAGCGATCAAATCAGGATCAGTGATTTCTCACATGTATAGTCGATAAAACAATCTTAAAGGCAGAAGTGACTGAAATGCAGAGGTATTCTTTAATTATTATGCTGTTCTGCTCAGCCTCTCAGACGCCTCTTAGCCCATTTCAGAGCTGTGTGCATCGGCTTCGAATACAACCAAAAGGTCAGCACCAGGAGGAAACATGGAGCGCCCAGGTGGAGGTGAGATAGAATCCATGCAAAGATAATCCACAGAGCCACTTTGAGAAAGACAAGAGTGTAGTGGATGAACTTTGACCTGAATGTTGGCTTCTCCTGAGGGGAAAAATTAAGGAAGGAGCTACTTAACCACCTACCATACAACATAATGATTCAGCATCTGTTCATTTATGAATATATATAACTGTGTGTGAACTAACAGTCCGCCTTTACTAACCTGTACATCGTGTGCTTCGACCATTTCCACAGGATCATCGTCCACAGGCTTCAGGTAGTTGTAGGCTGGATACGCAGGAGGCCATCTTTTGTGTCCTCTGTGCCCAATAGTTTTTCGTGGCTGCAGTTTTTGCATTGTCAGTGTGAGTCTGCACAGATAGTGTCTGATTAATCTTTAGTGTCTCAAGCAAGTTCTTGTAAACATTAAAATACTAAATCACTTACTTGTCTGTTGCTGGTGTTGCTACTGTGGACTTTGGATGTAAGCAAATGCAGTAAAGTAACCTTGGAAACACTTGGAATGTGTGGAGCTTCATTTCATAACGCTATCTGCAGTTTAACATGCAGAAGCTTATGTTTTGAACTTCCCCAGTTAATTACTTAGATTAAGACATTTATTTTTTGTATTATTAAGTTTTCAGGTTATTTTGTGTGTACTTGCAAATCATGTTTTATTTCATTAAATATGCACAAATTCACAAATTGGCACATGTATCATATCATATATCATATATAGAGAGCTGGAAATACCTGCAGACAGCCACAGAGAGAGACAACAAAAAGCTATTGACCTCAATTGACCTTGAGCACCTTCAAGAAGAACTAATAGCAACAGAAAAAAAGATGAGACTTGAATTTTGATTTGAAATCACCAGTGGTGGGACAGGACAGATTGTCAATAAAATATTCACAATGGACAAGTTCACATGTGAATGTTATGGAGGCAAAAAAAAAGTGTGTCTAAAAGTTTGAAAAGTGAGCGTGAAAAGGTTTTTGCTAGCAGTGTCTCGCCTGTGGGTTATTCCATCTGAAATCATCAGGGGCGTTCTGTTCAACCAGCTCTGATTTGCTTGAAACTTTTTTTTATTTTTTTATTAGGACCTGTGAATTTTTAAAATCAATTTATCATTGCCAGTATTATTTTTTTGCTTTTCTATTCTGGTCTTATTTTAGCATAATCATTATATTTTTAGTAATATGTCGTATTTACATTGCTTTTCTATCAGTCACTGCACATGTCATACTGTGTCATGTTGTTTTCTGAGCAATACCTACAAAATGATTTCCTTTGGGATTGATAAAGCTGTTTCTTATCTTATCTTGTCTTATCTTATAAGATAAGATAAGATTAAGCTTTGTTCATGCCGGAGAATATTGTTTTGCCAGAATGCAGTACAACAGACAATAAACAAAGGTTAGTGAAATATGCACAATCACACAGAGGTTAGTAGTAAAATAGAAATAAAAAAAAAACAAACTAAAAAAAGGAAAGTGTCCAAAAGTGCTTGTGTGAAATGTCTTAAGTGTGTAAAGTGTCTGGCTAGATGCCAAGGAATAGTGTCTAGAAAAACTAAAAAATAAAATAAAATAAAATAGAATAACACAAGTACAAAATGCAGCTGTAGGCTAATAGCTTTTCTTAATACAATTATCTTTATCGTAATAAAACAAAATCAGGCAAATCAGATATAATCGAGGAGAAACTGCTCTAAAAATGTCATGAGTTTAAATGTAACGAGCCCTACAGTTGAGCTGTTTTGGTGTAATTCGCCTTCCAGCCAACAGGGGGAAGCACCGCTCACTGTGACTCACTTCAGCCGCTCTTGTGACTGTTGTTGACTGCTGAGGACGCGGCGCCTCAGAACAGATTTATACACAACACGGATGAGTCTTAACCGACGCTTTTTGCTTTAGCAGAGTGTTTGTAGATCTGATCCGCTGCCCAGGACAAGCTAGTGAACCAGAAGTGCAGGCTGTGTCCCGTCCTCTGCATTTCATACAGCGAAAATAATTCATGAAGAGCCGTGGGAGCCGTAAGACTGGGTGTGTTTAATGTTAGACATTATATTGCAGTTTTTGGTTTTAATTTTAGCCGCATTAACCGCTTGGTTGACGGAGGAGAAGCCTTCTATCCGTGTCATGGTTGGCTGCTGCTGACTAGTCCAAAGTTCAGTGCAGGTAGAGTTGAAGCAGCTAATGTTGTTAGCTTGGTGGTTGTGTGTTTACAGCTGCAGCATATGGAGAAGCACAGAGGGCGGACTGTAACTCTATATTACTGTTTTTTTGACATTCAACACCGCATCGTAGGCAGCTGTCTCAGCCTTTGCATTCCTACATCTAGAGATGCGGAAAATATCTCACAAATAACCAATACCGCCATATAATGCTATACATCTTTAGATCCATGTTTGTCTAATTGATTTAAAACTTGATGGAGAATTACATCATGAGCTTATATTATTCTATATTTTAATGTAAACACGAGAACTTGTGTGTAGAGCATGTAGACCCATACTGTACAGATAACTTATACTGTATATATATCTTATTTTTATATTTAAATCTCTTCTATTTTATTTTATTTTTTGCTCTTTATTTTATTTTGTTCTTTATTCTATATTGCACTGTAGGAGCTGCTCTTAATCTCATTGTACATGTGTATAGTGACAGTAAAGGCATTCTATTCTATTCTATGTTAAAGTTTTAAAATAATATATATATATATTTACTACAACTATCACTAAAGCTGTGACTGTGTTACATTAACTTAAAAACAACAAAAACAGGAAACTAGGCCCTTATTGAACAATGTCTGACACTGAGATATTTAAGAATTCCATGTCTCAGGAGCTGCATCTACATATTGCAAGGTAAATTATGTAGTAATAATAATAATAATTAAAAAAAAATAACTAAAACTGCTGCATAATGTATATTCTAAATTGCTGCCTTTCTGATTTCTAACTGTAATTTGAAAATGACTACTTGTTCCCACTACTGCCATTTTTCTTTTGTATTTTCTGCATAGTTTAAATGATAAATCAATTAATTAATCAACACGGGCATTCATTTGGAACTATTTTGATTATTAACACTGTATTACAAGCTGAAATGGCAGAAAGTTGTTTCTTGCATTCTTCTAAATAAATAGACTTTATTAATCCGTTGGGGAAATTTGGGAAATGTGAGAATTTGTGTTTTCTTGTTTGTTTGTTTGTTTGTTTGTTTGTTTTAGTTTAAGTTATTGTAAATGGAACAAGAAATATTACAGTAGGTCAATTAATTGATTGGTCACTGGACAGAAAATATATTGGCTATTTTTCTGATAATCAACAAACCTAAATAATTTTAAACAAGAAAGATTCTGCTTCTCTTTTTTTCTATTATATTTGGTTCAATGTCTTTGAGTTTTGAACTAGAAATCTGAATAAATCCTTAAAATTGTGATGGCCATGTATCACAGTTAATATAACGATTTTTTATTTTATTTTTTTAAAGATAAAGGACACAGTTAGTGGATTTATTAAGAAAATGATTGTTGATTTCAGCCATTTTGTAATTCTCTAATATCCTTTGTTTCCTCAAGCTTCCAGGCTGAAGTTAAACTCACTTCAATGGCTGCCTGTGCAACAACAGTCCCTCAGTGCTGTCTCAACAATGAACTATGGAAAGCCTCAAGCACTGACTGAAGAATGGCAAGGTTTAGGCGCAAATCTTGCATCGCATTAATAGCTTTAGTTTTGCTCGTACTCGTTATAACAGTAGTCTTAAAGGCACTCACACCAGAGGACTCGCCTTTCACCAGACAAGGAGGTGCTGAACTGTTTCCAGAGAGAAAGAATGATCCGGACGCCCAGAGGAACAACAACAATAAACCTGATGACACCAAAATGAATGACTCTAACAAGTCAGACAAGGATGCAGAACTGCAAGCTACACTGAGGAAGTTCCCTCCTCCCAACTACTATCTTCACGCCTTCTACTACACTTGGTTTGGAAGCCCCAAGTTTGATGGCAAATACATCCACTGGGACCATCCACAGCTGCCCCACTGGGACTTTAAGGTGGCTCAGGGATATCCACAGGGGAGGCACAGCCCACCTGATGACATTGGGGCCAATTTTTATCCCTCTTTAGGTGCTTACAGCTCCAGGGACCCCTCCATCATAGAGGCTCATATGCAGCAGCTGCGTACAGCCGCCATTGGTAAGACAACAATCAATATGAATTTCTGTTCAGGTTCTAACATAATTCAAAATCAGATACTTTTTTTCCACAACAACTTTCTGGTTTGTGGTGATATCGTGATACTGTCATATTGACATGGGGTGGGAAAATCTGATTGAAATCTAAGGATGTATACTGACCACGTTAGTCAGTAGAGGTTTGCAAATTAATATTGGCCAGATGTGATATCGGGCTGTTATATAATTCAGATTTTCTGCCATGAGTTAAAATCATTTAGTCATGGCAAGCTGCCAGAGAGTGTCACAGCAAGTCCTGGCCTCATATTACCCTACATAATAATGATCCCTCTGATTTAGCAGGTGTTCAGTTTTGTATAAAAGACAGCACCGGTATGAGACTGGTGTTTACCAGTTGCTTGTAATTTGAATTGTGTGTATTCGTGGGTGATGTGATGATTGTGGACTGTCGTAGTCTGGCATATAATTAGTTTTTCAGAGGATTTGGACATCACTTCATTATATTAATGAATAATAGTACTGTCCACGTTGTCCCAATCCACATGCACAAAGTAAAGACGTGCTTGGTTGCGACACAATAAGGACGACGCTTACTGGACACACAATGCACCTTGGAGCTGTAACGTATTTAGTATACAGCAACTGAACTTTCAGAAAAAAGTAATAATGAAGTTAGGGTGCAGAGTTTGGTGCTTTGGGCCTTTAGCTTTGAGTTGGAGTGACAGATTTTGTGTCCAAGCAGCCACACACACAATTAATAATGTGATGAGATGAGTTCACCGATATCTGTGCAGAGAGTTTTGATTGAGATTGTGGATCATGATTCCACCTCATAAGACAGTGATATGATCTTCTGGCCAGATCGCTCACCTATAGTTTCAAGTCATCTTTAGGAGAAAAAGCTAGTGCATCGCTATTTATATCAATAGCAACAGCAGCATTTCTTACAATATTTTCAGTGAGAATATGTCCCGTGAAACAAATAATGTGTGCAAAATGACTTTTAAAACAAAAAAATAAAAAAACTGATCTTCAGTGCAGTTAACTCTGTTCCACTGTTATGCATTGAATCAAAAGAAAAATCTACCGTATTAAACAGAAAGATCTCCGTTTGTGTTCAGGTAGTTTTGTTCCCTTTCATCATGACCAGCGCAGAGGCTTGTGATGTATATGTCGATAACACTTATAATGCTAAGTTGCCACCCAGCCCTGTGATATGAACGCTATAATAAATAATGCAGTGATGATAAACAGCAAAACTAAACAGCCTTCAGTCTCTAAAATTGATTTCCATTTTGTGAACAACTTGAATAATTTAAGCTGTGATTCATATGTGACATACAGTATATCGATATGACTACAGAAATGGAACGCCCTATTTTAATTACCACACATTTAATATACATTTGTACTAAATGAATCCCACCAGTCGTCTGGACGTTTTCCTTCTGACAACTTTAGAATTTATGTTTCGGTGTTTATTCTCAGGTGTCCTTGCTGTGTCCTGGTATCCTCCCAACATGAAGGATGACAACGGTGAACCAACAGATGGCATCGTGCCTTTGCTGCTGGAGGTGGCACATAAATACCACATTAAGGTCTGTATGAATGCATTTAAGAATAGTTTGTTGTGTGATCAGTAGTTGCTTGAATGAACTGGTTCCTTTAAAAGCATCTTCAATGTCCAATGAAGTTTAATTTTAAAAGAATGTTGCAGAACGTTTGTATTCAGCCTGAACACGTTTTCTTTTTTTTCTGTATTCACAGGTTGCTTTTCACATCGAACCATACCAAGGAAGAGATGAAGTCAACATGTTCGCTAATGTCAAATACATCATCGAGAAGTGAGTATCGATGCGTTTCTTCTGCGTCAGTCAGATGTCGTTCTGCCGTGACCCGCTGCGTCAGTCGGTAATCAGCATGCTTCTTTCTGTTCCGTTGACATCTTTCTTTCTCTGGTCGTTTGTCTGGTCTCATCTGATGTCCTCAGATATGGAGAGCACCCGGCATTTTTCAAGTATCGGACCAACACTGGCAAACTCCTTCCACTCTTTTATGTGTATGACTCATACCTGATGAACTCGGAGCAGTGGGCCAAACTACTGAAGCACACGGAGAGTACCAGCATCAGGGATACCCCGTATGACGGCATCTTCGTCGCCCTGCTGGTTGAAGAGAAGCATAAGAGGGATATCCTGACGGCAGGGTTCGATGGTGTCTACACCTACTTTGCTACTAATGGCTTCTCCTATGGGTCCACTCAGCGTAACTGGGCTTCCATTAAAGCTTTCTGCGAAGATAACAACCTGATATTCATTCCAAGTGTGGGCCCGGGATATATCGACACAAGCATTCGACCCTGGAACTTCCAAAACACTCGAAACCGCATCAACGGCAAATACTATGAAACATCCCTGAGTGCAGCATTAGAGGCCAGGCCCGATTTTATCTCGATCACATCTTTTAATGAGTGGCACGAGGGCACTCAGATTGAAATGGCGATTCCCAAAACAAGCCAGACAGTTTATCTTGACTATCTGCCCAATAAGCCGACAATCTACCTGGAGATAACTCGCAAATGGGCAGCGATATTCGGCGGAGAGCGACGGAGGTGGCAGGAGTGACTTGAATAAGAGCCATAGCAAATGTTTATTCATGGTGGTAATTAGATGAAAACTAAACGAAGTTGTGGTTGTAGAATGCACAACAAAATGCAAATGATGAATAACAGTATGAGAGAAGCCAAATGACTCTCAAAGCCACAGACAAGTGAACTACTTCATTATCTTCATTTTGGCTTCAGTGATGTGATTTATTCTTTTGCACTTGATTTTTTTCTTAATTTAACTGATGTCTTATTACCTCTTGTTTACCCAGCCTTACACTTTGCGGGATTCGTAACATAATTAGCATGTTTTATCACTGTCTCCACCATATTCAGCTCAAACTGCATAGGCATGTTTTGCCTTTCTGTGATCTGTGACTATATTAAACTTGAATAGAAATAAAGTGCACCCTGGAAAGGAGGGAACGACAAGTAAACAAAGCAGTCTGGTGGTATAAAGCTGTTGCCTCGCTCCGCTTTCAACTTGGCCTCAGCCCAAAATACAGTACAAGAAAAAAACAACATACATCTTGGTGTTTTTCAAAGGCACGTCAGTCTGAAATCTTAAGATGAGTCATAGTGATGCAAACAGCCGAGGGAAGACAAGATAGCGGTTCAGTTTTTGAAACAGATTTGTAGCTGAGAAAACAAGATTATTTTTATCTGTGCAAGAGATTACCTTCTCTGTCACCATGGTACACGTTTTCACGGTATCAAAGTGTTTGTTCGCATCGCCCTCAACACACCCAACACCTCTCTGATTAGGAGGGAATTGGCAAAAATTTGGCCACGTCTGGACAAATGACATATTTTGTTTTTGACCACTGCTGCAAATGGACACTAAAACTGAACTTGGCAGATGTCAGCTCAGACACCGTTTCTACAGCCAGGTAACTGTCTTTCTGTTCTTTGATTTTTCAGGCAGCTTTGCGGATCACCTCAATTTCTGAGATGATCCGTCTTGCATGTCTTAAAGTTGTTCAGTTTTAACGTCTCTTGCAGAAATCCGCCTTATTTTCTCCCCGTTTCATTTTTCTTGACTCACTGCATGTCATTAGCATCTAGGATTTGCTGATATTCATTGTAATCTATTCTTCCAGCTATCCCTGCAGTATTCTCTGTGCCACTGGCTGCCACACAACCCCAAAAGCAGAATGTTTCCACCCCGATGCTTAACAGATGGCAGCGTGTTTGCTTCTTTTTTATCCAAACATACCTTTTTAGTGACTGTGGCCAGAAAGCCCAATTTGAACTCAATCTGTCCACAGCGCTTGTTTCCAAATTGACTGCGGCTTATCCAGATGTTTCTTTGCCGACTGTCACATGCATGTTTTATAGTCGAAATCAAACATTTGTTACTTCAACTGGGCACTTTGGATGTATTTCGTGTCTCACTGGTACCAGAAGCCCCCAATAACACTTCCTCCTGCCTGGTTATTATGCAGGGCCCGACTGCCTGGTGAAAACTTGAGAGTCAGAACCTTTGAATCTGAGATCTTGTTTCTCTGCCGGAAGCTGGTGAAGTGCTCCTTCTGGGTGAAGGTTGAGTTGCTGCCCCAAGCGAAGTATTTTTGCTCACAAGCGAAGGGAAAATGGTCTGACGGATTGGTGCATCATCAGTAATAATGCAGACATTGTACCTGACTGTCATTGTTAGGAGGGACCTCAACAGGAAAGCAAAACTCATGATGGAAGGAACATGATACAAGACGCAGGAAGGTTTTGTTTTTCTGTAGCGTGGCTGGGCTTAGCCTTATCGATAGGATGAGAAATCAGAGTAGAGTCGCTGCCGGTTGAGGAGGTTCTGGCATCTACTTCGGAAACCCCCCCGGACTCGTCCAACTGGGAGGAGACCCCGAGGTGAACCCAGAACTCTCTGAGGGGATTACATCTCATCGGGCCCCTGGAGAGAGACGTCTGGAACACCCTGCTTAGCCTGCTGACCCGACCCCAGATAAGTGCAAGAAAATGGATAGATGGAAATCTGTGGGAGGATCCAATCTTGTTAAAGTTTGACCCATACGATGTTTATAAATCTGACTTGCAGATGAACTCAGCTGTCCAGAGACCAGATCACATCACTCCTGTTTTAGAGTCCTTACACTGGCTTCCAGTATGTTTTAGGATAGATTTTCAGATTACTTTTGAAGCCCTTCACGGCCTTTTCTTCAAGCTACATTTCCCAACACGCACTTTCAGATCCTTGGGCAGAGGTCTTTAGTCTGCTCCAGGGGCCCGATTGAACACCAGAGGGGACAAAGCATTTGCAGTCAGGACCCCAAAGCTCTGCAACGATGTGCCGGAGGACATCAGGTCGGCCAAGTCATTATTTGTCTTCCCTTCTTGCTTTTACCGGAGAGCCTTTCCTGATTTTGCAGGAGTTTCAGTGTTCATCGACTATCTCATATTTTATTTATTAGATTTTTACCTTTCCTTCTTTTTATATAAATCTGTTGTTTTTTTCCCCGCCTTTAGACTTGAAGGTTCATGTGCTGCCCATGTGAAGCACTTAAAAGTTAATTATTATTATTCTGCAGCTTCACTTTTGATAATGCATTTTTTAAACGAGTCCCTCACAAGTCATCCAACTTTATGGAAGTACAATATTAAATCATTAGAGGGGCCCCTTTAAATGATTAATTAAAGAGCTGGAAGACATCACTCAGCATGTTTAATGGTGCAAACCGCATTTGTGAGCCTCTTTGTGGAGAATTTAACCTCCTTATTTAGCGGGACATTGCTTATGTGCAGCACTGCAGCCTCAGATGATTGAAAAATAATTAAGGCATTTGCATAAACGCACTGTTTGCATTGTCATTACGGTCGCAGTTGAGCTTTGCAGCAAACAAAACCTCCCATTATTATTTTTTTTATTTTTTTCTCGCGCAACCTCTTTTTTTGGATTCCTCGCAGCAGATTGATGATTCACCTGTTTATCCAAATGCGAACCTTAAGCAGGTGATTAAAGCGGTAATATACTGGAATCTGGGCATCATCTCCCACACACACACACACACACACACACACACACACACACA